GAAGAAGCGGAGGGCCTTAAGGCCATCTGCATGGGGAATGCAGGTGTAGAGGAACTGGACGTCCATGGTAAAGATGAGGTGTTGGGGACCGGGGAATTGGAAGTTCTGGAGGAGGTGGAGGGCGTGGGTGGTGTCACGGACATAGGTAGGGAGTTCCTGGACCAAGGGGGAGAAAATGGAGTCGAGATAGTTGGAGATCAGTTCGGTGGGGCAGGAGCAGGCGGAGACAATGGGTCGACCAGGGCATTCAGGTTTGTGGATTTTGGGGAGGAGATAGAAGCGGGCAGTGCGAGGTTGGGGAACGATGAGGCTGGAGGCCGTGGGTGGGAGGTCACCTGAGGTGATGAGGTTGTGGATGGTTTGCGAGATGATGGTTTGGTGCTCAGGGGTGGGGTCATGATCAAGGGGGCGGTAGGAGGAGGTGTCGGAGAGTTGGCGTCCGGCCTCGGCGATGTAGAGGTCAGTGCGCCATACTACAACTGCACCTCCCTTGTCCGCGGGTTTTATGGTGAGGTTGGGATTGGAGCGGAGGGAGCGGAGGGCTGCACGTTCTGCGGGGGAGAGGTTGGAGTGGGTGAGAGGGGTGGAGAGGTTGAGGCGATTGATGTCTCGACGGCAGTTGGAGATGAAGAGGTCGAGGGAGGGTAGGAGGCCTTGGGGTGGTGTCCAGGAGGAGGGGGTGTGTTGGAAGCGGGAGAAGGGGTCAGTAGAGGGAGGGTTAGGTTCACGGTTAAAGAAGTAAGCGTGGAGGCGGAGGCGGCGGAAAAACTGCTCTATGTCCAAGCGTGAGCGGTATTCGTTGATCTGTGGGTGGAGGGGGACAAAGGTGAGCCCTTTACTGAGGACTGACCGTTCGTCCTCAGTAAGGGGTAGGTCTGGGGGGATGGTGAACACTCGGCAGGGCTGGGTGCTGCTGTCTCCTCTGGAGCTGCTGGCTGTGGAGGTGGTGGGCGGAGCTACGTCGGCGTCGGCTGTGGGCGGAGCTGTGTCGGCGTCGGCTGTGGGCGGAGCTGCGTCGGCGTCGGCTGTGGGCGGAGCGTCGTCGGCGGTGGGCGGAGTTGTGCCGGTGTCGGCGGTGGGCGGAGTTGCGCCGGCGGTGGGTGGAGTTGCGTCCGCGTCGGTGATGGGCGGACCGGCGTCGGAGGTAGGAGGAGCGGGGTAGGCGGCGGCAGTAGCGGTGAGGGTGGTCGCGACTTCAGTGCCGGTGGCAACGGCAGCGATGGTGCTTGCTGTCCCGGAAGTGGGGAACCCGGCGGTGGCGGATGTGACGTCATCTGTGGGTTCTCCGATAGTGGCCTCATGGCCAGTGGCGGCGGACCCATTGTGGGGAAGGTCCTGGGTACGGCTGGGGATTTGGGGGGTGGAGGAAGCCCGTTTTGGGTCGTAGGCACCAGTAAGTTTACTGTACTTAGGGTTTTTAGTGTCCAATAAAGCTGAGTAGAATTGGGAGTTCAGGTTGTGGATCCTACGTAGAATAAAAAACAGGAGAGGTCCTTTGCAGGTCTGGGAGAGGGAGGCTCTGAGCTGGGGTAGGCTTGATTGTAGTGCCTGGAGATGCCGGCGCATTGCTGCAAGTGTGTGTTAATGCCAGTTTTTAATGCCAGTTTAAAGCAGAGAAGGGTAAGCAAGTGATTTAGAAAGATAGTTGCAAAGGTAGAGGCACAAGAACTAACAGAAGCGATTGCATGTATTAGTTTGAAGTCAAGAAACTGACTAACAGGTTTAACCAGAACAACTGCTTTATGTAACAAGATGCATGACCTTTATGAAAATTCTTTCATGTTTGTTCGCTTCACTGACAAAGGCACATGGCTCAGTAAACAGAAGTTTTGTTTCCTGTTTTGACTGCGACAATAAGCTTTAGTATAAGGGTTTTCATTTATCCTCATCTTACTCTTAACGAAATATTCATAAGGTTATGGTTGTGCAAATTAGAACTGTCAGTTTTTACTTTCTATGTAAGAACCTGGGATTTACTTTATTAAAAAAATTGCTTATTTTTAGTTATTACTTTTGCATTGATTTAATCAGGGAGAGTGATCTGAACCTGGCTAAGTTTGGATAGCTTTAATTGATTTGAACATGTTAATTGAGCATAAAATGCACTTTACACTTTTTTGTTTCATGGCGTGGCACCTGTTTAAGGGGCCACTGGCAAGACCGGTATTTGTTGCCCATCCCTAATTGCTGTTGAACAGAGTGTCTTGCTCGGAGTAAAAGTCAACCACATTGCTGTGGATGTGGAATTATATGTAGGCCAGACAAGGTAAAGATGGCAGAATTCCTGCCTTAAAGGAAGTTAGGGAACCAGATGGGTGCTTACAACAAATAATCATTAGTTTCACTGTAATCATGAATGAGCTTACAAATCCAGATTTTGATATTTTGAACCAAACTGTTCAGACATGTTATTACAACTCCATGTTTTAGTCATTGAATTTAAATTCCACTGGTTGTCACGATGGGATTTGAACCCAGTCTTCCAAAGGATAAGCCTGGGTCTCTTGGTTGCTAGTCCAGTGATATTATCAGAATTACAGCATCTCTTCCTGATTTCACATATTTGTGAATGGACAAAGGCCTGCACAGTACTGTATATTCAGAACAAATCTAGAAACTCAAGATCTGGAAGGCAATGAGTTAAATGTGCAAATCTAACTCATTGCCTTCCACAACACCTCTTAACTAAATGTTCTATCATATCTGCCATTCCACCATTACCAGCAAAACAGGGAACTGACTGTGATTCAATGAGGAGTGCAGAAGAGGAAGCTAGGTGCAGAACAAGTTACAGCTAAAAAGGAGTAGGCAACATGGTGCAGCTGCAACACAGGACTACATGAATGCTATACAGTGGAAACATCATGCTATAGATTGAGCTAAACAAACCCACAACCAAGAGATTAGATTAAGGCTCTGCAGTCTTGCTGTAAGAGGTGGTGAGCAGCTAAAGGCACAAAGAGTCTCCACAAATACCTCTATCCTCGATGAGGTGCAGCCAGGATGTGAGTTCAAAAGACAAGGTTGAAGCATTTGTAACATTCCAGATGTGCTAAGTGGATAACAAAGCCAAAGCTCCTCCCAAGATCCATCATCTCAGCAGCTAGTTTGATTCAGTTTATAAAATATCCAGAAATACTGAGCATTCTGAAAACAGCAAAGATTATGGATTCTGATAACATTCTACTATAGGGTTGTAAACACTAAGTTGTAGTTGTCGGAGGCCAATGATATTACTGCAGAATCGTCTCCTGTTGAGTTTCAATGTCATTACTTATTCTACCTCAACCCCGCCCCCCCATCAATATCCTGGGGGTTACTTCTGACCAGAAACTAACTGGATCAGCCATACAAATACTGTGGCTACAACAGCGTCAGAGGCTGGGATTCCTTCAGTGAGTGAGTCACGTCATAATTTTTCAATATTTACAATGTACCAAGTAAGAGTTTAAAGGAATACTTTTCACTTGCCTAAATGAGTGCAGATCCAACTGCACTCAAGAAGCTTGACACCATTCTTGTCAAAACAGCCCACTTAACTACATCCTACAACACCACCTTAAACATTCACTCCATACACAACTAATGTATAGTGGCTACAATGTCTACAAGATACACTGTCACAAGCACTGCTTCTAGAGCACTTCCAAACCCACAATCTCTATGACTTGGAAGGACAGAGCGGCAAGCATTTTGGAATACTTTGTGAAGTTTCCCTACAAGTCGCACATAGCTAGAACTTGCTGCAATGCCACAACTTGGAAAGGTCCCACTGTTCTTTCATCGTGGCTGGTCAAAATCCTGAAACGCTCTTCCTAACAGCACTGTGGGTTTAAAAAGGTAAAATTGCCATAGTCTTAGCAGACCATAGGGCTGCTCTGTAATTAGACAGTGACGATTGGTAGTCATTCAATGTGAATGTCACCACTACTCAGGCGAGAGGAGACGTTGAGGACAGGAGTCCTTCATGGTAACCTCAGTCATATACCTATCCCACAAATACCATAGTAGTTCAGGAGGGCAGCTCATCACCACTTCCTCAAGGGCTGAACAACAAATGCTGGTCTTGCCAGGAATCCCTGTATTCCATATGTGAATTTTAAAAAATACCCGTACGTACATAAGACAAAGGTCTCATGGGATACACAGTTCAATAAGTAATAGTGAAATCACATGCCTGTCATTGATATGTATTATTCATGGTTCACTTATTAATCAAATAATAAAATCATTACGTTATTGAAATCGGGATTCCCAATTAGCCACATGTAAAAAGTGGCTAACATAGTGGATAACATTGGTGTAGAAGAAGATAATTGCTTTTAAAGTTTTCTGTCAATGATTACCATTGAGTCAGAACTGGGCCGACACTAAAATAATAAAAGAATTAGATGATTTGTTCAATTTTTAAGTAAAAGTCTTACCTTGCATGTTTGGGTACTTTTAAATGGAGCATTTACAACGGCAGTTATAAGAAGTCAGGACACTAGGTATTATAACCTCCAAATGATACTGTTGCCACAAGCCATGCCCCTTCCTACTTGCTGCAGTCATTCATCCTGGCATTTTACAATCCTCACTAACAGCAGTGTGCACATTAAACCAAATGCTCTCACCTTTCTTTCCTCCTCGCATGCTGCTGAAAAGTACCAGGTTCTGTGTTTCTTATTAATGTGGATGATTTTGAAGGGAAACACGTTGCTTGATGTTGTTTCCTCTGTTGATCTCATAACTCTGAGGAAAAGAAAGAGAGAAATAACACCATACTAATAGGGTTATGGAGTGCAGACAGGGAAGTGGAGCTGAGGCCAAGATGAGATCTGCCATAATTATATTAAATGGTGGAACATGCTCGAGGAGCTGAATTGCCTACTCCTTCTCTTAGTTCTTATGGTTCTCATGTTCAAAAGCTGTTGAGGACACTGTAAGATGCTCCAGATTTAAAACATAAGAAGTTCACAATGACTAGATCAATAATATCACACATGAAAACTTTTAATCCAGTTTCCAGAGAATAAAAAGAACTAATATTTACAAAGTGCCTCTTGGTATGATCCCTGATGAAAGAACAAAATTCATGTTATCATCTGGTTAGGGACCTCTGGCCTTTTTGTTTAAAGGGACAGAATTTGAGATTCCAAGATTTATTGAGAGAATAAAGCCACAAAACTTTGTGGTTTTGAAGAAACAAACTAAACTTTATTATACGAAGTTAGAATAGCAAAACAATTTGTTGTATATGTTTTACAACTTACACTCTAGCATCCAGAGCTAACACAACACAAATATGGAAAATAAACAAACTGTCATATAACATCCCCAGGGCACATCAAATTGCAGCTTCAGTTAAGACAGATCCCACAAATTTCTCAGCAACCTAGTCTGTTAGGAAGGGGAGGTCAAACCCCTCTGATAAGTAAAATCGAAACACAAGCCCCCAAACTGTTAGGAGTAGAGGTCCCCTTCTAATAATTAAACCTGAAACACCCAGAGAAGCACACCTAACCTCGCCTAATCTGTTAAACTGTTACAGAGAAGGGGAGGTTAAAATAAAGAAAATCCCTGATATTCACTTAATAAATAACAAGTAACAATTTATTTATTTAACCCTAACAGTGAACAAATTAATAGAATTACTAACAAACCAAATAATTCCCCCTTAACAACTAACTATTCCCTAACTGAACTAAATTCTACTGGTATGCTGTTCCAATAAACACAAGTCCCACTTATATAAACCCAGGTAATACGAAAATAAATTAAAACTTAGTCGCTCAAAGTCTACATGTCTTTCTTCTGCTGTTTTCAAGTCATAACACCTTTCTTCTGCTGATTTGGCTGTCAGGGATGTTTTCTGTGAAGTCTTCTGTGAGGACTCTTAGCTAGAGGTGTCATGGTGCCTTTGATAGACAGATGGTGCTTTCTTCGTGAGAATAGTGATTTCTTGTGAGAGCTAAATGCTTATATCTCAGATGGCAGTTTGCTCTCACACTGATTTTCAAAAACCCTCTCCTTATATACTTTGGATGACATATCAATTTTCTTACAATAGCATTGGTCTGAGGTTACCAAAACCATCAGATTTAAATTCATTGGCTTTCAATCGCTAAGTGCTTGGTTTACATTAATTGGCTGATTCCAGCTCATTGCCAAAACATCAAAACAAGCCTAAGGTTTCCAATCACGCAGCCAATTGATACATGTTTCAATTTCAGAACTGTCTGTACTCCTTCAGCTGCTTAGACACATTTTCTGTATAAATCTCTAAGCTTAGAAAAGCACTTTACCTCTTAAAGGAGCCACACACACTTCTCCCTTATTATTTCTTTAACAAACAATTTCTAGCTTCCTGCCTTCCAATTCACAATTATACTACACAACTTCATAAGACCTTCCCCCCCTTAAGCAAAAAATGAACAAGATGGCTTTTTTAAAAAATCTTAATACTATTATCACGAGAAACATAGGTCAGTAATCTAAAGTTACACCATTCATACTAATTCTGCATACATTTAAAACATTGGACCATACCAGTTTTATGTTATCTGCACATTTTCTTTTAAACCCATGATAACACATCTGCAATAACATTTTTACAACCCGCAACATGTACAATCTAATTTAAAAGCCTGTAACACAAGACTCCAACTAAACAGTCTCGTATTCCTGTCTTTAAACCTTTCCAAAAAGGTGAGAGGATTGTGATCTGTATACACAACTGTCTCCAAAACATTGTTTGTACCAAATTGAATAACTCTTTTTCAATGGTGGAGTATTTTCTCTGGTGGGTATGGTGTTTCTTTGAAAAATAACCAATCGGCCTTTCAATTCCACCATCATCTTCCTGCATCAACACAGCTCCAACCCCCACATCGCTGGTGTCAAGAGGGGCTTTAAAGGGTTTCAAGTGTTAACGCGGCTTTTAAATTTTTAAATGCCTCCTGGTATTGTTCTGTGCACTGAAATTTTGTGTCTTTCTTTAGCAAATCCATGACCAGTGCCAACACGCTACTAAAGTTTGGTACAAACTTCTGGTAGAATCCACTCAGTCCCAAAAATCAAAGCACCTCTTTCTTCGAGGATGGTCTTGGAAATTCCTGGTTGGCCTTCATGTTCACATCCCTCACGGTCATCCTTCCATGTCACTTCTTCCTTCGCGAATTCAGTTTTTGCTAAATTTATAACCAGTTTTGCCTCCCGGAGTCTTTCAAAGAGCTCTGCTAAATGCACCATGTGATCTTTCCACGAATGGCTAAAGATGACCAACTCGTCTATATAGATGGTACAATTAGTCAATCCTACCACAACTTTGTTCATAAGTCTTTGAAATGTGGCTGATGCTTTCTTCATTCCAAAGGGCATTACTTTAAATTGATATAGCCCAGTGGGACAGAAGCTTCTTTTGCTCTCTCTGACAAAGGTACTTGCCAGTAACCATGAAGTAAGTTTAACTTTATGATGTAAGTGGCTTGTACAACTTTTTCCACATAGTCCTCTAGCCTTGGAATTGCATATGAGTCCGATTTAGTTACGGCATTGACCTTCCGATAGTCCACACAGATTTGTTGAGTACCATCAGGTTTGAAAACCAACACAATTGGCGAACTCCACGCACTTTGACTCGGCTTGATGATGTCTTCTTGGAGCATCACTTTCACTTCCTTCTGTATCTGTGCCGCTTTGAGACGCTTAAGACTGTAGGAGTGTTGTTTTATTGGAACAGCATTCCCTACTTCAACCTTATGTACTCTAATATTAGTCCTCCCCATTCTATTCCTACATTTGTCCTCATATTGCTGCAACAAGCCTCTCAATTCAGTTCTCTGTTCCTGAGGCAGATACCTCACTATCCTATCCCATTCTCCAAGGACTTCCTCATTATTTAACTTATTTTGAGGCAGATCAAAATCTAAATAATCTAGATTTGATTATCCACTCTGAGGGGGCAGTAACCAATACCTGTTTCTCTGGCTCCCTGTCTCTGTCGTAGTAAGGTTTCAACATATTCACATGACATACCTGATAAAGTTATTTTTTCCTATCTGGCATCTTTACAAGATAATTCACCTGACTCAACTTCTTCTCAATCTGATAAGAACCACCAAACCTTGCTTTGAATGGATCTCCTACCACTGGTAACAGCACCAATACTTTATCCCCATGGGCAAATGTACGAATTTTAGATTTCTTATCTGATTCTTGCTTCATTAGATGCTATGCCACCTTCAGATGTTGTCTGGCTAATTCAAATACTCTGTTTAATCTTTCTCTCACCTTAGATACATAACCCAACTGTGAGATCTCTGACTTCGGACCTATCAACTTATCCTTATTTAATTTTAAAGGCACAGTTACTTCGTGTCCGAGTATCAACTCAAATGGAGTAAACTGAGTCGATTCATTTGAGGCATCTCTGATGGCAAACAATATAAATGGGATACCTTTATCGCAATTATTTGGGTAATCCTGGCAATAAGCCCTCAGCATGGCCTTTACGGTCTGATGCCACCTTTCCAATGCTCCCTGGGATTCAGGATGGTATGCACTTGATTTAAAGTGTTGGATACCTAAACTCCTTAAATAGTTTGGCAGTAAAATTGGACCCTTGGTCTGACTGAGTCTCCCTGGGTAGGCCATAACGGGTAAAGAAAGCAAGCAACTCTCCATAACCTTTTTTCCTTTCACATTCCATAATGGAATTGCCTCCAGAAATCTGGTAGACACATCCATTATGGTTAGCACATACTGGTTTCCACCTCTGGTTTTAGGGAGGGGACCTACACAATCAATCATAATCCATGTGAAAGGTTCTTCAAATGTGGGAATTGGCATCAAAGGTGCTGGTTTTATTACTACCTGTGGCTTTCCTACCATCTGAAATGTATGACAAGTACGACAAAATTTAACCACATCCTTATGTGATCCAGACCAGTAGAAATGCTTTTGTATTTTAGCCTGATTCTTCCTCACTCCTAGATGACCTCATACAGGTAATTCATGTGCTACCTGCAATAATTCCTGTCTATATACTACGGCAACACAATCTGGTGCACTTTTGCCCATTTCTCCTCTGCACCAACCTGCTGTGGTCTTCATTTTCACCTTAGGATTCTATCCTTCAGATAGTAACATTCAGGAATACATTCAGATTCCTTTTCCAAGTAGGCTTTATGATATAAACCTTGTATTATGTCATTGTTTTGTTGTAACTCCATTAATCTTTCAGAACTAAATACCTCTGCCTGATCGTCTACCCGTTCAAATTTTTCTTTCACCATTTCATAAAACAGGGTGTCAGTTAACTGGACCTCAACTTCTTCATCTCTCTGAGATAGTAGGAACTGCAGATGCTGGAGAATCTGAGATAACAAGGTGTAGAGCTGGATGAACACAGCAGGCCAAGCAGCATCATAGGAGCAGGAAGGCTGACGTTTCGGGCCTAGATTTCTGATGAAGAGTCTAGGCCTGAAACGTCAGCCTTCCTGCTCCTATGATGCTGCTTGGCCTGCTGTGT